TCACTCGGATCTGCAGTTTTCTGGTATTCCTGCAGCTCTACCACTACCATCTGAGCATCGGCGATCTTTGAGCCCTTCTGAAGGCACTCTTCCGCCTTCTTCCGATTGCCAGTAATAGTGATCACACCTTTGGGACCAGGCATCTTCATTTTGAGATACACGTAGCATGGTCGAGCCATGAAACGTGCATAAGCTGGCCTGCCCAAAATAGCGTGATAAGCACTCTGGAAATCCACAACTTCAAACGTCAACTTTTCTTTTCGGAAATTCTTGGAATCACCGAAAACCACATCAAGAGCAATTTGGCCGAGTCACTCAGCCTTCTTCCCAGGAATGACTCCATGGAAACTCATGTTGCTGGTACTGAGTCTGGACATCGGAATTCCCATCCCTTTCAATGTTTCTGCATACAATATATTCAGGCCACTGCCACCATCCATCAAGACTTAGTCAGTCGAGTGCCTTCGACGACTGGGTCGACCACCAAAGCTTGCCTCCCGAGGGTGGCTATGTGTGTTGGATGATCGGACTGGTCGAATGTGATGGCAGTCTGAGACCACTTCAGATAACTGGGTGTCACCGGAGCAACCATATTCACCTCTCGGTTGATAACTTTCAATCGACTTTTTCTTTCAACATCAGCAAAAATCATTCGGGTGGAATTGACTTGGGGATATTCATTATCACTCTCTTCTTTGTCCTCAACTTTGTCCGACTCCTTTTCCTTATCCTTGGACTGTTTTCGCTGGAACTGCTGGATCAAGAGCCGACACTGTCGAGTGGTATGTTTCGGGTAAATGAATTTACCATCCTCATCTTTCTTCGTGTGAATGTGGCACGGCAAATCCATCACGTCATTTCCTTCCTTGTCCTTCACCTTCTTAGGGTTCCAAGACCCTTTGGGCTTCCCTTTAAACTTTCCTTGAGTCACGGCCAAGGCTTCCCCAGGAGCAGCTGGCTCGGCTTTCCGCTTCTGCTTCCGACTGGAGTTCCCTCCCCCGGTTTCATGAGCGGTTGGCTTGTACTTGCCACTCCGGAGCCGATCTTCTTCTTCACCATTGGCGTACTTGGTGGCAATCTCCATCATCCGACTCAGGGTCATGTCTCCGGTCCGACCGAATTTCAAACTTAGCTCTCTGTTCTTAACGCCTTCCTTGAAGGCACAGACTGCTTGGTGATCAGAAACATTTTCCACCGTGTGATGCAATGTGATCCACCTCTGGATGTAATCCCTCAGAGTCTCATTCGACTTTTGCACACAAACCTGCAGCTCTATCAACCCTGTTGGTCGCTTGCAAGTTACTTCAAATGTTCTGACAAACACTCGGGCAAGATCTTCCCAAGTGTAAATGCTGCTAGGTGCCAACTGATTCAGCCATGCTCTGGCCGAGCCCTCCAACATAAGAGGTAGGTGTTTCATGGCCACCTCATCATTGCCGCCGCCAATCTGAACAGCCACTCGGTAGTCCTCAAGCCAAGTATCGGGCTTGGACTCGCCGGTGAACTTACTGACTCCAGTCGCCAACCTGAACTCGGGAGGAATCATCGCGACTCTGATGGCCCTGCTAAAACACTCTGGTCCTGAGACGTGAACTCTGCTGCTGGTGGGCACATCTCTGTCATGGCCTTCTCGGTGAGCTCTGTTCCGATCGACCAAACCTTGAACGATAATGGATCTCGCATAAAAGCATGCTTCTCTGGGGTCGGCTGGAACCCTTCGCCCAATACTGTGTTGGCGTCTGTCATCTTGCTGTCGAGGGGCATACGACCCACCCCTTGGGGGAGGAGTGGGCACTCGACGTCGATCATCACGATCGAATCGGTCATCATACTGATCACGCCGACCTCCACGTCCCTCACGCCTCGGGGGCGATCTTGGGCTATGGGTCGACTGGACTGTATTCGCAGCGACGGATCTTCTATGAATCCTATTTCGCGACTGCGATACAGCTGGATTTTGATCTCCTACTGCCCGGAGTAAATCTCTGATCTGCATCAAACCTCTGCCAGCCTCTGACTGAGAGGGCTGAATTGACTCTGCTATACGGGCTGCAGCTGCTAGATTCTGAATCGGAGTTCGATATAATTGAGTTGGTGGTGGAAAGAGTTGACATCGACTGGAGTCTGGGACCCGCTGTCGTGCACGCTCGTCGAGTGCTCGCTGGAGGTTCTCCAGTCGAGTGCGCTCAGCCAAGTTGGCCAAACGTGCGTCCTCTAGGGCACGAGCCTCGGGGGTTTCTCCAACGATAGGAGTATGCAGTGCATCCATGTTCCGGCGGTGAAGGTCTTCCCTTTGCAGCGAAGTAAGTGGCTCGGGTTGATACTCTTCGTGGACCTGCGCTGGGTTGCCTACGTCGGCGCGGGGGAAGCCGGGAGGACTGCGCGGTCCATTGACCATCAGGACCTCCGTCGCTCGATCACTGTTGTCGCACTCGGATGCAGTCTCTATGGAGCCAGTCGACAGGTCGAACAGGCCGTAGAGAGATTCGTCGGGCTCAATCGCCGCGACTTCGGGGGTGGCCGACTGGCGGGCCACCGCGTGCCTCACCCACCGCTGAAGCCTTGACCGACCGGAGCGCTTGCGCTGGCGGGAGACAGGGAGGGGGGGTGACACAGGGACCGACCGATACTGAGTCGACGGTTGCCGCAGAAGGACGCCGCGAACACACGCGCGAAAGTGCGTCGCCCCGCGGACGGGGAGCGCCTCGATGTCGAGTGGAGCCTCCTGAAGCCAAGCGGAATCGTCGGCGACGAACGTGAGCGCGCCGAGACGGATCTCGCGGCCCTCAACCAAAACTCCGCCTGAAACCATGATGAAGGAGATCGGAACAATTGCAACTTCTCCAATAAGTCGCTAACACACCTTCCCCACGGTGGGCGCCAACTGTCGTGGTTCTAAGTCTTACAGTAGAAAGGGGGTAGGTATGGAGAGGCAAGATCCTAGCTATGGAGTAGTTGTATACGCAAGGGATTTACGAGTTCAGGCCCTTCTCGGAGGAAGTAACAGCCCTACGTCTCGGAGCCCGGAGGCGGTCGACTGGGTTATATGCGTATGAGTTACAGGGGTGCGAACCCTTTACACTGAGGAGGGGGTGGCTTATATAGAGTTCCCCGGACCCCTCCAGCCCTCAGTTATGCAGGGTTTAAAGTACATTAAGACCGGGGGTTACTGGTAACGCCCCCACATAAAGTGCTATGATGACCATAAAGGCTACTTAATGGCAGACCGTTGCGTGCAGAGTGACTCTAGATCTCCTGGTGGTCGAGTGAGTGGCTTCATGGTCGAGTGTCTTTGAGTCCGTCGAGTGAAATCCTTCCAGGTCGACTGAAAGGTAGTTTCTTCTAGAGATGTCCTTGGGGAGGGTATGTTGGACAGGTCCATGACCCTACCCTAGGTACATGGCTTCATCACTCATCACTTCGTAAACAAGATGTAGCCTTTTGAAACAAGGCTTCCATGAGAAAATCATTACAGTTGATTGACATTAGTGTAGACAACGAGGAGCATCTAATTAAGTGGCATGGCAATCTTGCACAGGGCTAATTAGCAGAGGCCTTGGCCGGGACAGCTTTGCTCAACCCCAAGAAAACAAGCAAAACATATCTCTCCAAAACTCCAACCCAGATAGATACAAATCGCAAACGACGCAGGCACTCCATATGTATCTACCACGAAGTTACTGATCCTTCCTTTTACTGGCGAGTGGCGTCTGCAATTAGGACGGACGGGAGATTATAAACAAAATCACTCCACACCAATGTAGATAGATAGAAAAAAAATTGAAGGTGGGGAGATCAGTATGTGCTGCAGTAGTTCTTTGGGATGATAATCATACCAGAGGGGGTGATCGTGATTAGCACAGGCGTGTCCGAAGAGGCGGTGGGGTTAGGGTTAGCCTCGTATATATCCGCCGTGCACGTGTATGTCCTAGGACGTGGGCGCCTCATGTCCATGTCGGCGAGCAGGTTGAAGAGCCGCTGCTTCCTGGTGTCCATCTCCGCCATCAGACGGGCTGTCTCTGGGTCGGGCAGTGGCTCAGCTTCGACCTATACAGGCTCGCCGTCGGCAGAAGATGAGTGTTGGGCAGCGGTGGCGGCGGATGCGGAGGACAGAGATCGCAGCAGAGGAAACGAGGCGGTTCGGCCGCGGTGGGCGAGCAGCGGCGAGGCGGCGGCCTTGCAGACCGCCTGCGCTTGGCCGCCGACGAGCCCCCTCGCCGCACGTCGGAGCGCGGCCATGATCGAGAGTTCGAGACGATCGCGTTCTACGGGCGCCCACGCTAATCGTATCCGGGGCTAGGGGTAAACGTGTACCGTGTACGTGATAAGGCGTCTCGCTGCTTTCTCCTGCGTATTTGGACGTAAGGCATCTATTAAAAGTTGGTTGCTGACCGTCAGCCGGGCTCCAACACGGCTGAATCCATATTTGCTTCTATCCCAGCCTATTATATGTCCAACATCACTTTTCCCAAAAAAAATTTTTTTGCCAAACTCACATTTGTATGTAGGCATATAACACCATGTAAATGCTCGTCCGGCACACACAATATTCAGTACGCATAGCGAGTGCATTTGTACGTAGGCATTATGATAAAATAAACACCCCCGTTTAAAAAAAACAAAAAAAGGATATATAAATAAGCATCATGTCAGAAGTTCAGGTGTATTAAACTGATATTCTAAACTTCATACTATCCATTGTCCAATAGGTAATGCAACCATGTTCCATAATAATTTATTCCTTCTAATAAACCAAGTCAAAGTACTATATATATACAACCTCACTCGTATATACAGATATAGCACCCACACAGAATCAACAAATCTAAGTTATCTTTCATATATATGCAGCATAATAATAACTTCTTAGGACAAAACTAAAATGACATTCCAATCCATACTAAATCAGCGACAATTAATATGGATCGGAGGGAGTAGTATATTTTACAAGGGAGGGATGGCACCAATATAAATTATAGAACAGGCCATCCGCATCTGTCCTACAGCATGAAGGTGCTCATCGGATTCGCGAAGTAGCGCCGCCTTGCAGACTTGGAGCGTTCTTCACAGCGACCTTGCTTCAAAAGACCCCGCAGCATGGTGGGAGCACTAGGCACATCTTCATCAAACACCCCAACATGAACATACAGGTGTTTGTCAACTGTCAGCTTCCCCAGCAAGGTCCTGCATGTCTGCACATGGACAGGGTGAACTAGTTACTAACATTTGAATATCGAATGTATTGTGCAAACATGATATGATGTAGCCAACATACATACCTGAGGATTCAGTACGTCCATCCGACGGATTACGTCCTCCTGATACACGAAACAGCGGAGCAGAGCAGCTTTTAATTCAACGATATTGACAATTATAGGTAGAATCATAGCTCCATATGGAAATGCAAACATCTTTCAGTACTAATAACATTCAGAAAAACTGTCTGATGGATTTAGAAAAACTTAAATGTGAGTGCTTTAAGCAATATCATGATATGAAGTTTAGAGTTGCAACACCCATAAATAAGATCTTCCTACAAGGTTACCTATTTTGAAAGTCAATACGAGCACTTTCTTCATAACATTAATACGACTGATCAAACAACTCACAAATCCAATTGCATGCATAGAACTTCCCGGCACAAAATAAGCAGGTCTAAATAACACACTCACCTCCGAAATTCCTGGATATTGCATGACATATCCAATAATACGACGGCTTAAACCTTCATAGACAGTGCTATTCGTGCTGCCATCGCCGTTTATCCACGGTAATATTGGATGATAAATACGACTTCTGCAAACATGACAGCAAGTAGATGGCCTTTCATCATCTCCAGGACTTCCACTCTGCAAATGAGAGCTTGACTTCCTTTCAACATCAACAACTGTGACAGTGTGCCCCTCGCCAAGCTTCCTTACAGTTCCATGCAAATTAAGAGGCATCGTCGAGTGCTTCTCTTTCAGTATATTTCTGGTGTCTCCAGTTGATGCCATTTCAGAACCCGGAGCTCGCAAACAGCTGCAATGGCTGTACTCGGCGAGTGTGGTTATATGATACTTTGGCTTATGTAATGAGTCAACAATCTGCACACCATCATATGCATTGACCTGCATTGACCAAATTCAGACTCCTATATGTTAATTGATGTGGAAATAAAAAATGCAATCTTCAGAATACTTGATTTTCTACAACTTCCACACAATTTTGGTCAATTTTTTACAATCTTATCCTTCCTTAATTGCATCACTAAGTTCCTCCACCATATGCAGGTCTTAGAGAGGACAAATTGAGGGTCAGATGGCATTTTATTTACCTTCTTAGTTCTTTGTGGCCAACTCTAAAACAAGTATTGTGAAGCAGAGGAGTACATATTTAACAATGTTGATGCCAATTTTAAGTGTACAATACTCGATATAGAAAGAAAGGGAATATCACTATCTATCTGTTGAATTTATGCAGAACTAGAGAAAAGAAACATAAAAGGAAATAAAAGAAAGAAAGTAAAACAACAGAAGTAAATTTTAATCAATCCATCGATAGACAGTAATGAATAATAAAAACAGGTACACCAATCTACTATATACATATTCACAGATCTACCTTAATGGCCAGCTGAAATCTCTCAAGCATATCAACAACCAAACTGATAGATTGCATGCCTGCATCCAGGGGATAAAACCAAATAAATGAATCCTAGCAAAAAAAGATGTAGCTTTACGCAAGTTCTACAAAAACTACACCAGTTTTTATTCACAAGGATAAAGAGTACCTAGTGGATGCAGTGCCTGTGACATTTCCCTCAGATTAACTCCTTGTTCACCAGTTTGACGAATAATACAAAATGCATTTCTGAACAGGTCAGATGAAAGAACGATCGGTTCATTTTTATTACAACACAATGATGGTAACTGTTCGGCATATAATTTCATAGCATCCCAAGGCCATCCTCTATAAGAATTCTCCAAATGAAATGCAGACAATAAACAGCGACATGAATTCAGATCGTTTAAGTCTGGCAACATGTCACGGCTTTCTACCTTTGAATCAACATCCTTGCTGCCCATTTCCCTAGCTAAAGTAAACATAAGGCATTCTTTATGATGTAACACCTGCATGGGATTGTTTGTTTGGATCATCTCTTGATTCAAAGCCACTTGGATACCAGGGAAACCTTTCTCTCGGCGGCTATCTATATGGGGAAAAGGTTTGTGTCTCTTAGTCCTACTGCTTTCCAACTCTGTACTCTTGCGTTTGTAAGTACAGTCATCCAAATCACTGCTATCCTCGATTGAAGGACTGAAGCTGTTAGGTTCATCAGCCTCACCAACTCCTTCACTTGGTAAGGAAGGTGAAATGAGTAGCTCTCCTGACAACACAAGAGAAAAGAGGTGAACAATTTCCCCGCATTGTGGATCTGGATGCAAATAAACTGTACTGTCCACAATATTCTTTCGTTGCCCTATAAGCCATTTCAAAAATTCAGAAGCCTTTTTCCCTGAACCATATGGGAAGGGTGAATAAGAAGCATCAAAGAAGAATTTTCCAGAAAGGGTTACAGGTTTCATTCCATTTCCAGTAACCTGCAAAACAGGGGGCAGTGTGTAGAAGTCAAGAGACAGTGGTGCAGGAATGTAACTACACACATTTATACTTTGGCTTAACATAGTTCTAGCCATACACATCAGAACCCAACATTGATATCCACCATAGGCAAGCTTACATTAGTGCATCTAAGCTGTACAAAGCTAATCTCCTATGGTGGTTTGTGATACGACCACGTTTCAGATATATATTATGTTTAATCCTATGAAAATGCAACCTAAATGTAGAAATAGGCCTCTCACGCAAAAAGAACAATCTTCTTTTTCAACTAACGAAACTCAACATTGAATGTAAGATACTAAGATATTAAATTTTAATGATATTAACAATACATTTGATTTTTCAGATGCGGGTCCCAGCAAGGGAAGCTACTACGGATCAAAACATATAGAGCATAGTGAAGAAATAAATAAGAGATTTGATATACTGATGGATAAATTACACATACTAACCAAGAAGTTCTTCCCTCTCAGAAAGGAAAGGGCAGTAAAAATTTCACTCTCTGAATAAAGCTGAAAGGTGGCTTTTAATGCAGCTTGTGCTTCTGAAGCCGATAATGAACTGAGAAGAAACACCTTCAGGAGCTCTAATGCATTGGCAATTGCCAAGGATTTGCATACACCTCTTTTAGTAATTTCAGCTTTGTTGGGTTTAATGTTGTTTTCATGAACACTGCAGGGAATTGCCATGTTTTTACTTGGATGCATTGAATTGGAACATGTACACAATTCCACGATCTCTGGAGCTACAGTGCTTGTGCTGGTTGGACATTGCATAACCTGATTATTTGAAGGTGAAAAGTCAATATTAAATAGTATATATTGGCTGAGGAGAAATATAAAATTACTGACCGGTCATACCTGCTCAGTTGGAATTTCCTCAGCGGCATCATCATTCCTCCTTTCGCTCTCTGGACTAATCCGATTGGTCTGGCCCATGTTTCCTAGACGAATGAATTCAAGGATTTCATCAAGTGCATTTCTTATTTCCGGATCATTGAAATTATCCCAATTGAATACCTCAGAATCTGAATCTGCAGAATTCTCATAACTAGAATTTGATAATTCTTTTGCTTTTGATCTCTTGTACCGTATTGCAAGAATGTTGCAGATTCGATTCACAGCTGTTCTTATGTTTGTTTTAGCTCTTAAACTTGACATCCTTTTACGACATGCAGCTGGTAGAGCTGGAAGATCAGAAATAGAGTTCCAAGCTACACGGGATATTTTTGCTCCACGTCTTGTGCGGTATCTACTGTATGCCATGAGCAATTTTCTGGAAGTAATAAAAACAGATCAGGCACCAAGCATCATGGAAAACTTCAAATCATTATTAAGTGTAACTGAATTATTTTAATATATAAGAATATGGATAGTCAATCAAGGAATACCTGTCAGATTCGGATGTCCAAAAGAAAATTTTCTTTACCAAGCGTCTGCTGCCCCTCTTGTCTTTATTTGTATGCAAGAAAGTACCAACAATGTTGTGTGTGGGAGTAATGCCAGCTCGATGACGTTGTTCTGGTAGGCCAGTGAGTGATGGAGAGATTTTCTCTGTTATTTCTCCATCCAGAATAGACTTGACTAACCTCTGTGAGGATGATCCACTAGCTTCAACTTTTTGCTTAATAAACTTCATGGCAATCTCATTAGCCGATCTTTTCCTTTTCTGAGAGGTTGATCTAGAATTAGATTTTTGTTGATGTTGCGTATCAGAAATGCTTGCCTGTCCATGAAGCTGTCTATTCTTGGAGGAAGCATAAAGCACCTACATCAGCAAAACAAATCCGTCCAGTGAGTGACATTGAACAGCAACCATACAGATAGTATACAAAACTAAAAATACTACTCAAATGGAAAAGATTAAAACAACTCAGCCACAAAATAATGAAAATGGGATGTTGTTCTTAATTACAAAAGAATGATGTAAAAAGACGTTATAAATAGCTCCTGTTATTATGTTACAGAAGCAACTTTAATGTATTGCAAGGCCTATGGGGCAAATATATAGTATACAAGACTTGAGGTGCAAGAAAGG